ATGCCTCATTTCTTCCTCTGTGAAATTCTTGCTGAGATTTAGAGGTGAAACCCAATCCATAAAGCTAGGCGTTTTTGTGACTATATGCCCCTCGCACCCTCACTACATCCATCGATCCGCAAACAGAGAAACACACACGGGTACCCTCTCTGTGCCTCTAATGCCCGCTGGGATCCCATGAGTGTAGGACACCTGCAGGGTCACTTTGGCCAAACGGTACAACCCAATATAAAACCCCTCGTGTCCGAATGAGTGTGCCGGGGGGACCTGTGTCCAGCCCAGGGTGCAGGGCAGGGCAGGATCCTGGCCGGCTCCCATGCATGGCAAAAAGAGGATTGATACTTACCCTAGTAACACATTTAAGCAACTGCGCAGGCCATTAACCTCATGTGTTTACATTCAGATTTGCATGTAAATCCTTCATGACACTAACTGCAGCGAATCCAGTAAGAGTTTTCTAAAATACTGATAGTGTAGATGAGCTGGGTATGCGTATGCAAAAGGCTACGCTGCTGTTTACACAAGGGGTTTCTTGCAGACACAGTAAATGTCGATGCACAGCTCTGGTTTATATAAATAATGCCATTACTGTAGTAATAAGCTGGAAAGTGCTGAGATCACATACATACAGTCTGGAGGCAAGTGGAGCTGGGTGTGCAGGCTGAGCGAGGCTGCCATGTGCCAAACGTTGCTGTAAGGTCTGTGGTGCACGTGTGTGCAGCTACAGCGCTCGCCAGGAGCAGCACAGCCGGGTGCAGGGGACCTGCGCTTGGCTTGCATCTCCTTTTCTCTGCAGCTTGACTACATTTCTTTAGGGCCAGAAGGGACCACTAGATGACCCCATCCAGACTAGATGTATCCCTTTACCCTAATAACATTCCCAAAATCATGCATCCAACTGAAACACCCTGTCCAAAAAGCACCTAGCCTTGTTTTGAAGATTTTGAGAAATGCAGTGTCTGCCCCTTCCTTTGATAGCTCCTCCCAAAATGTGCGCATTTCCCATTTAAATGTGTCTGGCTTCATACTCTGGCCATTAACTCCTATCTTTCTCTGCCAATGGCCCAGCCAGAACAAAGATGTAAAAACATTGCAATAAGTCCATGCGTCTGATTGATTTCCCAATGGACATGGCAGGGATTTTTTCTCACTGGCATCTGCAAAGCTGGAACGGGTGCTGTATGTGGAATAATCATCGACTTCAGGGCATTTGGAGTCGTGGGCACGCTCAGCGTACCCCATGTAGGCACAGGTGATGTCCAGATAGCAAAGCCATGATAAATTCCCCATTAGCCTTTGACCACCTCGCAGTTTTTTCTCACTGCTACATCTTCCCTGGAGCTTTATTCCAATATTTCAAACCTCTGAAGGGTTTCAGACGGCCACAGAAATGGCACCGACAGAGAAATATTTCCCCTTTCCCACCCCATGTGTGCAATTTCTGCACAGGGCTCTTTGGGGCCAATGTCCAGGTCAGGTCAAGATGAAGTTTGGGTGAGGGACAGCTTTTCTTAATTTAAAAGTATCACAGCTTGGATATTTGCTGCCTCTGGAGTGAGTAGTGAGATGCTCACACGTTTGCCTCAAAGGGGTGGAGATGCTGGGCTTGACCCTGAAATCCCTGCTCCACTCCAGGCACTGGAGTTTGGCTGTCAGCTCCAGGGACCCCAAAATTTCATCTTGCTAATGGCAGTTTGGCTCCTGGTGCAACTATGGCATTTGGCTCTAGAAGTGAAGAGAGGAAAAATAGTCCCTTTTTACAAAAAAACCAAACCTTTTCCAAACCATTCAAACACCAATGCCTCTGCTAGATTCACAGCACCTACACAAAATACCAGACCAAGTTGTGGTGCAAAGGTAATTTTGCAATATTGTCTGCTTTGTCTTGCCAGCACATATTCCTAATGTGTGTGAACACACACATGTGCACACCCTCACACACACACAGAGCCATCCTTTCCTTCAAAATATAGTAAGTTTACAGAACTCTATTGTCTATTAACACAATTCCAGGCTTTTATTCCTTTCTTTTCTTCTGTAACTTTTACTACACAGCCACAGGCATACACATGCTCTGCCATGCTGTCTCATTTTGATGTGTTCAGCGACTGTATTTGCCAGCGATTGAAAATCATGTGACACTTTTTATTTTAAATGTCTGATAAAAGTTTTTAGTTTGAAAGGGCCGACCATACACATATTGTCCATACAAAGTTTAAAAATGCCAACACAAACTGGCAGGTAAGGCCATGTTTGTTCTGTAATGCAAATAAAATAAACAAAGATGGTGAGTTCTAAGCCTAAAATTCCTTTGATCTTTGAAGCCCCATGGCTTTAAAAATACAACTGCCTTCTGTATCACAGCCTGGCATGTACATCTATATGCCTATATGTATATGTATACTTATACACAGCATAAAAAACTTCTGTGTTCAAAAGAGGGTCAGTAGCTAATTGCAAGACTATGGTTTTCTTCTTTAAATACCCTCTATTCATGAATGAAGAGGAGTCCAAATCTCGTCCCGCTGATGAAAAACAAATTCAAACACAAGGAGGACCTGGCTGAATTTATTTAGAGTAAGGAAGACTTTGCAGTACATGCAAGGCACAATCAAGCCCTGAAAATAAATGGCATGCAGAAGGGCATGGGATAGTGACTCAAGAGCACTTACAGGTACGCTGTAGAGGCAAAATAACTCCTCAAAAAATGCAAAACCCACCCAGGAACAGCAAGCCAGCACAAGGCCCAGACAATATATAGAGCCCCTCTTAAATAGAGCATATGATGATATTTCCCTAGGGGGAAATTTCACAGCAATTTGGGTGCCCAACAAGAGATGCTCAAGAGGGAGCTGATACCCCAGGCAGGATGAAAACCCCAAGCTTTCTCAAATCAAGACCTTTATAGCATCTCACATGGCACATCCAAAACCAGAGCTGCCTTCTCAGCACCGTGGCTGAGAGCTGCAGCTGCGCTTGGCTGTTGCGTTGTCCATGCTGGATGGTTTGCTGCAGTGTTTCCCTTTGGAGATCTATCAGCATCGCTAGAGATTTGTGTCTAAAGGCAGGAGCTTTAAAGGACAGGAAGAAGCCACTCCTTCAGCATATCTGGCAATATGTAAAGTTTTTGACTGCATGATACAACACTACGGAGCTGGATCAAAGGGTAGAAGGCACCAGTGGAGAGCGTTATGCTCAGTCTGGAAGATTATGCTGTATGGGAAATGCAGAAGTGCTTCTTTTAACCACTAACCCTCTATCTGAGGGTCAGCAATACAGCTGCCATTTGAAAAAGTGCCATAGGACAGTCTCTTAGGGCTTCCTTAGAGTTCAACCATACAAAACCAGTATTCACCTCCACGTTTGAAGCTGGTATCAGTACCGCTGTCACAGCATGTGTTAGAAGCGTCCTCTCACTGCAGCACTGGCACAGAGAGCAGAGAAGGGCCACGGGCTTACGGGTGCATCCTGCCCTCTGCTGTGCCCCTAACGCTGCTGAAATGTGTGGTAGCTTGGTATGTACTATGGTGCAGTAAGTCGTTTCCCATAGGCATGAGATATGAGATATAGCCCTTGGTATCTCTCATGGAAACATCCGCTTACTGCCTTCTTGAAATAAAGGTGATGCATTTAGTGTATAGAGGCTTCTGAGTTTTGGGTTTTTTTTAATGAAATCACTCAATAAACTATAGCCATTAAGAACTCCTGCCTAAATCATGCCTTATATCCAAACAGACCCTCAGTGCTCCTATTTAAGCCTCTCTAAAGCAGAGAGGGTGCGTGCGAAGATACCCATGATCTGAATTTAGCTTTTATGGACTTCATAAATTTGTGTTAACAAAATGTAACTGAACCCTCCTGCTAGAAAAAAAAAAAAAATAGCAATGGGTTGTTTTATTATAACCTCTACAGGAAGACCATCATGACGGATGGTCTTCCTGTAGAGGTTATAACATGGATTTCTTACTACAACATACAGGAAAGCAGCAGAGGAGCGTGCTATGCAATGCTTTATTGCAACAGTGCCAGTTGGTAAACTCCACATGAGTAGGAAGGTCTCCCTCTTCTACTTCCTCCTCATCATCCTCTTGCTCCCCTTCCCCAGAGTTACCAGATGGCTCCAGCCAGTACCAGCCCAGTGGGCAGGGATGGAGCCACTGATTGAGCTGGCTAAGGCAGAAAAGGGACATTTTGGATCAGCATGTATTGGTGAAGGAAAGCAGGAGCTTACATGCTTTGCTGAATTGGGGCCCCATCTCACAGCTCTACGGCTGAGCAAACAGGGGACTGTTTGGTTTGCTGGTGACTCAAACAAGCCAGCAGAAAAATCACTGCAGGTCAACCCAGAGCAAATACCTTCAGAAAAGTTCAGAGAAAAGCAAAGCCTAAAGCATTGTTTTGTTTCAGGTTAAATGAAGTGTTTCACTTTTAAACGGAGCAGCTGGTTTGCTGAAGATCTCTTTCACAGAACAGGCTTGAGCAGGAAGTTGTTTCAAACTTAAAAATTGGCATGTTTCAAATTTTCAGGGTTTTTTTTCCCAGCAAACTTCAAGTGAAACTCAAGTGAACAGCAAACAGTTGCAGCATTGCTGAACCTGCCTTCTATAAAGAAAATTTTGGCTGCTGAAGGGTTGGGTGCCTCTCCTTGGCATGCAGCAGAACGAAGGTGTGAGCCCTCCTGGAGGAGAGCAGCTCCCCACGTCCTCTTTTTACTGCACCCAACTCACCCTCCGCTGGCTCCTTCAGCAGCTGCATTTACAAATGAAATGTTTCACCTACATTTCATATTTTCCCCTCCCAAGCACCCTGAGGCCGAAGTTCATTTTACAGGCTCATAAATTATTATGTTTTGATTTACAAAATTTTCTTTTAAAAAGAAAACCCATTGCAGGCTTGTGCTTAAAAACCAAATGCAACCTCCTTCCCTCTCAAAAAAAATGCATAGTGAAACAGATTTCCTTGCGAGCAGAGATCTTTTCTACTGAAGATGACAAGGGGTCCATGAGATCTGGCCTCTGCAGACCCTCACAGACAGAATATAAACAGTGGAAAAGGCCAGTTTCTGATGGAAATGATGGCACCAGCGGTACCTGAGATGAAGTTAGGAGATTACACATGGCTAGTGTAAAAAGGCATAGAGATAGAAGACCTCTAGGTTAGAAGAACAGTTGGTCACATGCTACATTGAGTATATTCTGAGCATGGCATCTATAGAACCTGAAAAAAAAAAAAAATCTTTATTTTCTTTGATCAAAAATATGTATAGAAATGCCTGTTTCAAGGAAAATATCATACATTTTTTTTCTTGTTTAACAAAATAAATTAAATATACATGACTTCTGTTTAAACTCTATATAGAATTACAAAGGTCTTATATTTGCAATTGAATTCATTTCCAGTCCATATAGGTATTTAATATGGTCCTTATTTATTTTCTCTTCTTTCTGTTTTTTACTGTTGTTTGAACTGCAACAAAGTTGTATCATTTCCAAAATGTTATCTGAGGGAAGGGGACAACCACACACAACCTAGGTGAATATTTCTCAAATGCATTTTCTCCTAACCGATTATTATTCCATTCTCTTTGTTTCTTACTCTTTTTTCTAATGTTTTCACGTATTTTGCATTCATGTAGAAAATCCAGTAGCTTGTCACTGTGAGCCATCAGAGAACGACAGCGTGGTTTGCTTTCTTCACCATCAGCAGTTCAATTATTATTATTATTAATTATTATTATTTCTTAAATATAAATATAAAGGTGTTCTGTACAATGTTCCTCTTTCCTTCTTTCCTTTTTCCTGGCAGTGGCACTGAGTCCTAGGACCGGGGAGTGGAGCACTTGTGGATTGATCTGCACAACCTCCCATGGGAAACACGATGCCTTCAACTTGCAGAAATCAAACCAACCAACTTGGTTAGCGTTTCAGATCAAATGACCACGATTGAGAAGCATTTGGCATTTCACGTTGTGAATAGAAATTAGTTTTTCCAGATCTTCTTGTGTTATTTTTTTCCCGTGGAAGAGGTGAATTGGTTATATCTTCCTGTGCTTTGGCACTAAACCTCAGGTACTTTACAGCTCAAGTCAGGCAGAGCAGGTCTGGGGGCTTCCCACCCATGCAAGTGATGTGCAGCAGGCACAGGAACACCAGTGCCCATCCAGAAAAGCACCGCAGTCACCTCTTGCTCTTCTTGCTCCTTTTAGCAACACAAGGAAGAAGGTGGTGGTTCACGTCCCCGTGTCCTGTCTCACTGGTCGCCACCTTAATTAAAAAATCCGGGAAGGCTCCGCTGTTGGAGATGGCTGCCTCTCTGCTGAGATTTGGAGTTCCTTCATTATTCCTCGGCTACATCCTGATTGCAATAATTAAAAAAAAAATCTCTTTTCTCTCTCTGTCTCTCTCTAGTATATATATATATTTATATAGATAGATATAGATATATACACATATATATATACACACATACACACACGCATATACAATTATATATATATGTATATATATATTTAAAATTATATATATAATCTTTTCTGTCTGCTTTGCCTATTGCTGGCAGTGTGAGCTGACTTGGAGCAGTCTCTTCTGAGGTACCACGAGGAAAAGCCCAAATGAGCTACTGTACACGGCCACCCTCTTAGCACTGGTACTGAATGTGCTGGTGCTGATGGACTTTGCCTTCCACGTGCGAGTGGGTGTGGGTGTGGATGTCTGTGTAAATCTTTGGGTACATTTTGGATGCCATGGCCGGGGCGAGTGCAGGCCCTTGTGACAGTAAATGCTGCTGCTGGGCGACATATTCCTCATAGTTTATGGAGGAGATGCAGTCTTTGTCGGGGACCTGGGAGACGCAGATTCTGTCCCGGGGCTGTGGCCGGTGCACGGGGGCAGCAGCTGGTGGGGAGCAGGGCTTCTTCTTGGTCTGGCAAAGCCACAAGAGGATGGTTCCAAAGATGAAGACGGCTCCAGCAGGGATGCCGATGATCACAGGCCAGGGAAGGCTGCTGGCCGAGGAGGGGGGCACAGGTGCACTTGGAGGCTTGGGATCTGGACATCATGGCAGGAGAGAGACAGAAAGAGTTAATTAAATGCAGGCAAAGTGAATTCAAAACAGATGTCACACTTGGGCTGGCTTTTGTACAGGCTGTCTGGCAACCCTGCCAGACTAAGTAACAAGGGAGAAATCAAGCCAGCACATGATGTTTGGTAACTGCTTTGCTTTTCAGTGCTCCTGGAAGGACAAGCAACTCATTTTCTCTGGTTTAGGGGTCGGGAGGGGAGTCTTTGGGGGATTTTTTAACTTTCTTATCCAAGCTTTAATGGATGCACTAGAGCCAGTCCGAGAGAGTTTCCTAACACCCTCACTCTGCAACAGACTGAGCTTCGGTGCCCAGATTGGAGGACACAACATGGGACATGTCGGCAATACCTCCATGTCAGAGACCCAGGAGGCACGATCAGGTTGCGCAGAGCAACGGCACGTTGCCCACTTGCCTCTGCCAGGTGTAGCTGTGTCTGCATTAGTACACTCTTTAGTATCCCTCTCTGGCAATACTGAAGCTACTCAGCAACGCTCCGCCATGGCAGGCAGCACAAATGTGGTGTTTTGGAGAGGTTGTCTTGAATTTCTTGTGTGGCTGGGAGGAAGGGTGAAGGATGTGAAAATGCAGGTGAGCTGGTGTCCCCTTCTTGGTGCCCAAGCCATGGAGAACTGAAAGTTCACATGACATTAAAGTGTGTGTCCCATTCCCTATGCCAAATGGTCTCTACCTCCACCAATCTCTTTGGAGCTGCTGTTGGCTTTCCCAAGGGCAGTGAATTCAGTTACCGGAGGAGATAAGATGCTTCAGACAGCATCTTTCACACCTACCTCCCGCTTCCCCTCTCTGCTCCTGGGAGCCTGTACATCCCTGGGTAGCCACTCCAGTTTCTGAGCCTGATCGCTCAACTCACAGACCCAAAAGGAGTCCTGGGATAGGATCCTAGGTATCAAAATCCCCATCTAGATATCTACCAGCCAGTATTTCCAAAGCCCTGAAAAATACCTAGGCACAGAATTCAGCTTGAAGGGAGACACTCCAGAAACTTTGACAGCCTCAGGCTATCCAAATGGCCCAATATGTTATATCTCACTTTAAACTTCCAAGCCAAACTTCTTTAGGACATTAATGTCTTTTTCCCTCCTTGACAAATAATTCTATGGCTAGTTTGAAATATTAAATATATACCATGTGGTCTCTTTGAAGTCAGAAGGACCTATACTGCTGACCTCAATAGACAAAACTTTGATTCACCAACACTGGAAATTACAGAATATTTTAGGCTGGAAGGGGAGTCTGGAGGTCATCTGGTCCAGCCCCCTGCTCAAAGCAAGACATGACCAGGGAACTGACCCATCAGCTGACCACAAAAACAACAGTCTTCATGTTGGTTGGCAGAAATCCTCTGCTGGGCTGAAACGAAAGTGTTTTGATATTCATCCATGCTGTTCTTTGGAGCTGTCTATGTCAAATCTGGTAGATTTACAAGCAAAATGGTATTTTTCTAACTCATGGCCTTGCAACCACATCTTTGCCTCTGAGGGCAAACTGGGTTCTCCTTCTCTGTCATTGCCAATAACAACAGGCCTGCAGGCTCTGGTTCTGCTATGAGGCCTCATTATAGTCCCATTTAAATCAATGGAAAGTCTCCCACTAATTTCAGTGGGAGCTGGATCAGACTCTCATAGTTCAGAAACTCCCAGAGGCTTTGAGTTATATCCCACCCACGCAGCCTTTTCTTTGGGATTGACAGGCTTTCTAGTTGGAGTTTAGCCCTAAAGTGATGCAGAAGAAGACGCCAAGAGCATTCTCTTACTTGGCAACCCACTGTCAGTGTCTAAATTCAAGCTAGGGACTCTCGATGGCTGCTGAAACGCAGAGCTTTGGCAATCAGTGAGCAGAAGAAGCCATGCTGCCTTACAGGAGTCATGAGCATTTTCCCCACTACCTACACGGAAAAGCAGAGTTAATGATCTCTGTCTCTCACTGGTGTCTTGACTGGAGACACCCCATTAGACCCGACAGCTAAAATGTTCTGATACTGGCTCCAGCTCCTGTACTCTCTTAGCTGTATTGGCCTTGCAGTGGTGGAGAGAAGAAAAAGCAGTAAGATTGATTTTTGTCATAAAACTGGAGGATCTGAAGCTAGGTTCACATGGCAATATGAGGCAGAAAGAAATGCCCTGTTCAATAAAAAATATTTATCACAGCAGAACTGCACAGTGAGGAGGCAAAGGAGCAAAGGACAAAATGAGGATGCTGCTCCTGAAACACACTTGGTACAGCCTCAGTTGAACATGGCCACCAGCTCTGAGGCCTGGGGAGAGAAGGAAGCAGCTGTGAGTTTGGTACAAGGGTCCCCAGGGGATCACTGGGTAAGAATTTAACTAATCAATCATGCTCCCTTTCACACTTGTTCTCTTCCTTTCCTTGTGACCGGGACAGTTTTTATTCTTCTCTCATTTTATGGGCCTGTATCATTGTTTCCTTTTACCAGTAAAAGCAATATAAATAAGAGCAAGAGAAAGAAGAAATGTTTAGGAACGGGGTTGCAAGCGGTGCTGCTATTCAGTTCCCCTCTCACCTCCCACATCCTATTGCTGAAGCGATGTAGTGCCTGCAACTGCAGTATCATTTCCCAGCTCCTCTTTCACACAGGACCAGATCATTCATTTTATTTCACCTTGCTGGAATCATTATTCCCCATGAAGGGAGACAAGAAACCATCATCAAGAGGAACTCAGCAGGGGCTGATTTAAATCAGGGCTGATTTATTCCCTCACTGATTCTTATCAGAACTGGGCTAGCCTAAATCAGCACAGCATCACAGAGGGCCATGGAGCCTGATGGACATCAGCAGTTGTGTTAATAAATACCATGATGCAGACTATTGGTTCAGATGGGAGAATAAAAGGAATAACTCACCTGGCAGGACTGTGAGAAAAGCGCTGCGAAAGCTGTAGCCCATGGTGTTTGCCCCTAGGCAAATGTACATCCCTGCGTCCTCTTCCTTAGCTCGAGTAATCATCAGTTTGTTCAGGTAGGAACCATCGGGACGGGACCAGACCTCCCCCGTGGGCAGCACAACGAACTTCTGTCCCCCAACATCGATGGTTGAGTTGTACTTGCTCTCTGTGCCATACTCCACCCTTTTCAGCCACTGGATGACAGGTTTGACATCGCTGCGGACTTTGCACTGGAAGGATGTGGTCCCACCATAGTCTACTGTCGTGTTGACGGGGTGCGTCCCTGTCAGGATGGGCTTGGACCTTGTCCTCTCTGCACAAAAACACAGGGAGGTCCATGGAAAAAGGTGTTTGCCAATCTCATTAACTTGTGATTGCAGAAACATAGGAAAAAGGCATAGGAGGGATGCAAAATAATTGTCTAGTCCAACTCCCTGCCCCAAGGCAGGCTGAGATTTCTGCAAACCTCTCCTGATATAAATTTGCCCAGCCTCTACCAAAGCATCTAATGGTAGATGCTCTCCAGTCTCTCCTGAGAACTACTCCATTGTCTGAGGTTTAGCAAGTCTTTTCTCATGCTCAGCCCGAATCTTCCTGTTTCTGACAAGGAAGCTACTCACTCTATCTGCATCAGATCTGGAGAAAAGTTTGCTCTCCCTCTTAGCCCTTATATTTTGGAAGATTTTCTTCAGCCCTCTCTTCTGTACACTGAACAACCCTCCTAACTGCTAAGCAAACGGGGTCCTAAGAATCGCCTATGGAAGGTTTTTCTGTCTTTGCTGTGTTTCTGCTCTCTCAGGTCACTCGTGAAGCATTTATATTTAGGTACCCAGTTTGCAGTGGTATTACTTGGCACCACACAAGTCAGACCTGGCCTTTCTGCTGCTTGGCAGGTACTGTAAGTCCAGTGTGGACTGCTGAATTTCTCCATTCCCTTACTGTATGAGATGACAAAAGGGGCCATCCTTCCTTGTACTCCTGCTTATTCCCATGTGTCAGGGACCATATCCCCAAATAATGGGATCTGGGATCTTAATGATGTGCCTTGACCTACAGGGTCAGAGGCTGCAGTGATCTTTCTTGAGCCTTGACCAGAGGAAGACAAATGGCCTGATACTAGCCAAAAAAGCCAAAACCCATTTCAGGATCAAATTTGGGGAATAGTACAGGTCTGAACACAAATGAAGTGGATTATTTCACTGTAAATGTTCACTTGATATTGACCCCGATGATGTCTTATCAATGTTTATAAATATCTGAAGGGAGGCTGTAAAGAAGATGAAGCCAGGCTTTTTTCAGTGGTGCCCAGTGACAAGATCAGAGACAATGGGCCAAACTGAAACACAGGAGGATCCTTCTAAACATCAGGAAACACTTTTCTGCTGTGAGGGTGACGAAGCACAGGCACAGGTTGCCCTCCATCCTTGGTGATACTCAAAAGCCGTCTGGACATGGTCCGGGGCAACCATATCTATGTGACCCTGCTTTATCAATGGGGGTTGGACCAAACGACTTCCAGAGGTCCCTTCCAACCTCAGCCATTCTGTGATTCTGTGATGCTGTGTCTCCTACCACCATTTCTGGTAGGGTGCAATTTACAGGTGAATATGACAGAACCTTTATGTATTCTCAGACACAACCTCAGCTTTTTGCCAGATTATTTACAAGCACAGATCTATTGAGAGTCCACACCAGAAGCACTGCGGCTACCTCCAGTTTGGGGACAGTGAGGGGCGGGGTAAGACATGTTCATTCTTCTTTTGGTCTTCCCAAATGTTCCCTAAGGACAGACAAAATTGGATGGGAAAAAGCCCCTTCTTTCATGGACTAATGGCAGGCTGTGTATATTGTCTCATCTTTTGTTTGGGAGTCCTTCAGGAGATATCTGTCATCTCCGGTAGCTTCCCATGGGGACCAAGCTCTACTGGAAGCCATTATATGCCATGTCATCCTCTGCTGGGGGAGCTGAGACCACAGGCACTACTGGTGAGGAAAATCTTCACTTCATCCTCACCTCCCTGCTTTTATTATTTCTTTCTTCAGTCTAATCATCCCCACACTCACTATGGAGCAATTTTTTGTGGAGAAAGAGCTCAGAAGGCTTTTGCTTTTCCAGCCAGTAATGAAATCTTTATTTTCTCACAAAATTTTTTGCCTCAAGTCTCAGCTGATGAAGGAAACAAGATGGTAGGAAAGGAAATCAAACACAAGAGGTTCACAAGACCATCCTTTCCAGCATGATCATAAGCCTTAGGTTGTGTCAACACCACATAAAGTCAAAGGAAAAATATATCCCTCATTCTGAGGAATGTTTGGATTTTTTTTTAGTGCTAGCATCAGAGAAATCTGTCACAGTTTCCAGACAAGGAGGTACTGCAAACCTCTGTCCTTGGCACAGAGGGAAATTATGGTATCACAGTGGGTGGTAACTGCTGGCAATCAACAACCACTTTTGATGGCAAACACTTTTGGATTGAGCATGTAACAAAACAGCTCCCACCAGCACTGGCTTTGGGATGAGAGGAAGGAACAATGGACCCTCTTTCAAAAACTCAGGATACTTTCAATAATGAGGGCTCTAAAGATGTGTTCGGGAAACAAAAATACCACAGTGGTCTCCATAGGCTTTGCCTTGGGACTATGAGTGGGAATCACAGCTGGGGAGACTGAGACTCAGATAAGCAGGACTTAGGAGTGGAGTCTTGGGGGGGAAAAAAGGAGGAAATTGAATGAAACCTGTAACACTCCACAGAATGATGTTAAAAATAGAAAGATGTCTGAAAACTGCTTAATGCCCTTATCTCCTTGACTCTGGTTCCAGCTTTCGTTACTGTTTTCACTCCTAGCCAGCAAAAGCTAATGAAAACAAAGGTTACATACATCTTTAAGTTGATAAAAACCAAGATAAACAGGGACATAGAGAGGGGTTTGTTCCTGGTGCTGTCTGGTTTTGATGAAGTGAAAATGCCACAGCTGCCATTAGGATGGGGTTTGATTCATTTCCCTGTCTCTGCTCCTGGTTTTAGTGTAAACACATGTTTTTACTGTCTCCACACAGCTGCATCTTTATCAATCCCAGATGTCCAGCAGGTTTGTGCCTTTGGAGCCCAACAGAGCTCCCCACATGTGCTTTTAATTCCTGTGGTTCTAGAGAAAGGACTTATCAGAGAACAGATCTTTACCTTTAAGAACAATCTTTCACACTGGGATAAACTTTCTCATGCTAAAATGTATGCACAGACAGACAAACAACATGCTTTCCATGTGGCTGGAAATAGCCCTCCATGCCCTTGCTCCTCATTAATGAAGGCTATTCAGTCTTCCCTCCACTCAGCAAATCTTCTCCACTTTCTTGAGTTGGCTGCTCTGTAATCATTTCCATGATAACTTATGATGATGTCATAGACAAAGCACAATGATTTAAAAATAAGGGCTCTTCTCTGGTAGGCTTAGGTAGGATTTTAGTATAATTATCTTCAGTAATAATAGGGAAACAGGAGATTAGAGACCAAGAATCAGAATAGCTAGATAGTAAGAAGAGCAATTTACTCTACCCCACCGCAATGCAGGGTAATCCCCCACAGCTCATCTTCTAAGGGTTGAATCTCTAAAGCTATGTAGGCATCTAATGATACAGACAGGACCCCAGTGGGATTTTTTTTTTTTTTAGTGTCTCATTTGTACCCACCTGAACCTTCAGATGGCCAAATGTTTTTTAAAATCTGGCCCTAAAGCCTTGTCTGGCTAATCACTCTAGTCATAAGATTTCTGCTAATTCCCTTGGGAGACTTCTCTAATGAAGTGGGCCTCCTCTTACAGCTATCTAGACTGAAAATTTTCAATTGATTGATTGGTTTCACCCTATTACCACTCTGATAGAGTAATCTGGGCCATCCTAAATATTTCCACTTCCTCTACGGTACGTGAAAGGGCTTTCTCAGTTAGTTCTCAGTCTGTCCTTGAATTGACTCTGTTGGTAGTGTAAGATTGAACTGGGCAATAGCGAACTTTTACCACACAGGTGCCCTTAGAGATGACTGTTTCCCAAGTATCTATCTCTCCTCATTTCAGCTACTAAACTGTATTATTGCTACTCTGTCTTGCCCAGGTGTTATGTTTATTCTAGAGTTTCAGTAATGTTTTCTCTGTCTCTGCTGATGTTTTTAACACTCCTCCAATTCTGTGTCCAGGTATTGGCACTGCACACTTGCCATCATGCTCTCTTTGCTAAGCCTCAGCCTACTTTCTCAAAACTCCCTCCCTGTCTTTCCACCCCAGAGGCTGCACTTACGGATTACTTCAACTTTGTATGTTGCATTGATTTCTCCAACTTTGTTAAACACTCGGCAGGTGTATTTCCCACTGTCCTCTGGCTTCAGGTTCTTCAGGTTTAGCGTCCATTTCTTCTTCTTGTTCTCCCCAATCTCTTGGGGCGTGAGGGGCTTATTGTCCTTCAGCCACGTGATGTCAGGCCGTGGGTTCCCGCTGGCCACGCACTTCAGGCGGATGGAGCTGCCGACAGGACGGGCGATCACTCTTCTTCTCATTTTTGCAGGCTGTGTGAACCTGGGCCGGGCTGCAAAAGGCATGAAAAATTGACTGTGGTGAGCAAAGGGCATGCAAAGAAGGATACTGCTGTCAAGTGTTATGGCCAAATTTGCTTGAGAGGCACCTGGCAGCCACATACATACCAGTGTATCACTCTCTCTCGTATCAGCTCAAACTGATTTCCTTGGAAAGGAGACACCATCCAGCCTGATGCATTTGAATGTCTACTGGACTGCTGTGGCCACCACATTACCATTCTGCATAGCACAACCCTGGAATTTCTCGGTGTCTGTAAGGCAACTGTGTCAGACCATCTCACAAAATAATACCAAAATCATGCTATTGTAGCTGAAGGCAAAATGCGGCCCCATAATCACATTATAATTGTTACCATATTCCATGCCACAAATGCAAGCTCTTAGCCAAGACCAAAGGAAAAAAATTCAGATTCCTGTCAAGCTGACTATTTTCTCAGTCTTTTTCTGGTCACTTGAAGCTTAATTTTCTGAAGATGTTTTGCCCCTTAGCTCTCCCTGGCTTTAATGGGACTTAAGAAGAGTCACCATCTTTTCAATATGTAGGAAAGTCTTAGAACTGTGCCAGACTTTTGTACGTTGATCTAAACTTAAATGTATGCAATTCATTCAACATTAATTTATGAAGCATTTATGTTGAAAGGCCCAAAGAAGCAAATAAACAAATGGAAAGACCCAATAAAAAACCCTTGAGTTTGTTATCAGAAGATAACCCCATGCCAGTCCATCCCAAAAATGGAGAAGCTGAAGCAATAGCTGCTGATGGACAGGATCATGGGTTAATATAGTCACCTTGTCTTAGTAAGGAAATCACCAATATTTCTAACGGCAGTGACAAGAACACTAGAGAAATGCAAGGTCCCCACCCAGCAAAATCTGAAACTTATACCCTCGACTGCACCTAACTTTAATTCAGATTATGTCAGAATTCCAGGGGGAAAAGAGGTAGCACCTTTACAACCTAGTAGCTTTACTGACATTGCAGAGAGTTTTCCTGTAAAGTCATGAGTTGGTCTAACTAATCAATGGAAAGAAAAAGATCTTCGCAAAAAATTTTAAGACAGTTGAAACAATAGAACGTGATCTGTTGCAAGGCAAAAGCTTATCTAATAGTATCCTGTAATGAAGAATTCAAAAGAAATTACAAATTTCTCATAGTTACTTTAATTATGCAATGCCATTCCAGGGGCACTTCTAACTGCATTCTCCTGCTGGATTAACACCACTTCTGACTCCTACTTGGCACTGTCCCCCTACATCCAAAATACTCCTGCCAAATTCACCTGTCGTCTTTTTTTATTTTGGCAAAGCCAGTTTCTCCTCCGAGTCCATTCAGCACTTCCACAACAGGTTTCTCCCCCTGCTTTTGAACCTTACTTCTTGCTTACCATGATCTTACTCTTCAGCCCCAAAGGGCAGTCACCCTGCATTTTTGCATTCCCCTGGCAAATCCTCCCTGCTCCTTTGCTTGAGAAATAGGTAATGAATGGCCTGCTCTGTGGCACACTGGGTTGAATTATGCCCATCTCCCATTGGCCTTCACCAACGGCAACTGGAAAGCCACAACCTCAGTAGCATATAACGCACCAAAGCAAGCTGAGAACGTGGTGCTGCAGGTAGCAGGGAGGTTAGCTACAGGATGGCACGGTGGGACTCCCTACTAGAGAGCCGGCCCTCCTGTCCAGGGCTGAGAGCCAGAAGCTCTGGGATGTGCATTGTAGCAGAGCTTGGCTGGATGGAGGAGGCTGGTCTGCAGCTTCCTCTCTCCAAGCACTGGGGAACAGCAGCCCTCTGAGGCCTGTGAACATATCCCTTAGTCCTCATCCCCCTGCAGCCTTGCTCAACATCCCTCCCTCTCAGAAGAAGACACCCTTTGGCATACTCCTCTCTTCAGAGTCCTTTTCTGTAGGGGAAACCATCTGCCTCCGCAGCCTTCCCTTGCCCCATTTGGCTGTCATTTTGGGTCCCAGCCCCTTCATGTTATTTCAAACTCTTGCTCAGAAATGCTTTACTCTCCATACAGAGGCTTTCATGTGTAATCTAATGAACCGGAGCAACTCCGGCACTGAAAGTCCTTGCTGTGACAGCTGAGCAGCAAGTGTGACATACTAACCCACTCCACAGGTCATGGTGCGTAAATTGCTGGGTATTCCCTTGGGGTCTGCTGCAAGAGGAGGCCTCCTCCCAGCAAAAACAATCACCCTCCCAGAGAGACAATTAACCCTGTCAGAGCTGCATGCTGTGAGCCATGACATGCCGAAGTTTAAGTCTGAGCTGACGGAGATGTGCTGATAAAGGCTGTCATTGTGGAAATTGTCTGAGTAAATGTCTGCAAGGCGCATGGAGAGGTTAAGAACCAGCCATGAAATGGGTCTAAACTGTTATTCTCTAATATGGCAGTAATTTATTCTGAGACTAGGAACTGCAGGTCCAGGCAGGGGTAGATCCTCGCCAGATGGGATTCCTGGACTTGGACTAACATATCAAAGCACAGGTTGGAGACAGGACAGCCACACTGCCAATGCAGAGTGAAGAGTCAAGTGAGTGACTCTAAGCTCTCACTGTCCCTTAACTCTTCCCTGCTTCCACAGCAATATTTCAGAAGGACTTGGTGGTGTCCCGGGTCAGCAAGGGCATTGCAAGACAGAAACTTCAAACTCCTTCCAAAAAAGCAGGCCTATATCTCCATTGAATCTGTCCAGAGTTTTGCATTCACTCCTCGTACATTGTTGCCCAGATACATACCAAACTACAGGTAAAGCTAAACTTCTTTGGCTCTTTCTGTCTGTCTGTCTTCTTTTGTTTAAAGAAGGTTAAGTGATTACGTGGTCTCAAAAGCTACTCCAGGCTGTGTGCAATACGCTGAAAACAGATCCCATTTACACAGTCCTGAATGTTTCCTTGACAAAAGCCTGAATTGGACAAGTTTAGAAAAGCCAGTTAACAAAAAAGGAGAAAGAGAGAGACACATAAATAAAAGAGAAAAAGAGACCCAGAGCAAGCACAAAGAAGAAAGAGGGAGAAGCAGCAGTGTGAGAGAGAGGCAGAAAAAGTCTCTTTTGATTTGGTGCTAGTAAATGTCTGTCCCCAAATCTGTACCATTTACAGAAGTTTTGCTTGTTGGAATGACAGCGAAGGCCATTACAAAGTGCCTCTGTGTTATTTATACTTCACATGCTTGTTCTCCTCCACATCACTTGGCTTTTGCTTCATAAACATGAACCGCACATTTGTACAGTATAAATTATGCCACACACAAGAGCAAGGGAAAGCACAAGTGGATGGGGACAAAGAGACAGTGTTGTGTACGGGTTCCTTGCTGAAATGCTGTGTACCATGAAGATTTATTCAAGCTAATGAAAATTAAATGAAACAGAAGGCTGTCGACACAAAGACCTGGGAAGGAATTCAGCAGTCTCCTCTCCCTGTGGAACACCTCAAGGTGCATGGATTAGTCCCAGAGGCTCCTGTCAGACGTTGCTCATACAAAGCGAGGTGGTTAGCTAAAACATGTAGTCTGCTGTGATCTGCCACAATTACCTCCACATAGTGATGGTCAGTACCACTTCAAGCTTTCATGATACTTATACAAAAAAGTGTCATGATATGATTAAGTATTGAAATACTTTCAAGTCTTTTGGATAAGAGCTCAGTCAGTTGTGGGAAGACATGGATGGGGCTATCTGTCTTTCCCCACATCAGCTCCCTGCTCTTGATGGGGGCAGGATTTCTCCCCAGCAATACCACTCCACGATGGTGGCTGGAAAGCAAAGTGTAGCTTTTTTTTTTTTACCTTGCTTCTCCTCTCCCACTTCTTTAGGACCCAGGACTCTGCAAACACAAACTGCTCCTTCACCCATTATCCTCCAGAGACCTGCAGACACACACTGACCCTCCCTGCACACCAGCTCACACCAGCATTTTGCTGGTGAACACTGCCGGATGGAAAGGGCTTGGGGGTGTGTGTGGCCTGCCCCAGACATTTCCCTGCCTGGGGAGAGGACACAGGAGAGAGGGAAAGGGGAAAAAGCAGAGGTGCAGGAACACTCTGCACCACAAAGAAAGACTGGGTCAGGGCAGCACAGAGCAAGACACAATCTGATATGAGATTGTCAATGCCTAATAATTTTAGTAGTGCTTACATCTTTTTTCATAATATTATTGTTGTATTGATCCATCACCCACCAGCTCTACCTGGAGCACATCTGCCATGGCATTCAATGTCTGCTCGTATCTCCACCAGGGCAATGAAGAGCAGAGAGATGGCAGCTTTTCTTGCTAGCTGCTGAATCCTTCCTGAAGGACTCCTGACCTGTAGTTTATCTAAGCCATCCTTTTTTTAGCTCCAAAATGCTGTCATCCTTTTCCAGAATGAGTGGAGGTTACCTTCCTCTCCCAGAGCAAGCTCAGATGAATCTGTAATTCAAAGCTATTATGGCACTGCCTCCTCCAGGTGTGGACTGGACTACACCACAGCACACCACATCCCTTGTTTGCCAGCTCCTGAAGAAAACTGGCTTCAGCTCAAGTGGTGGGGACTCATACGGTGAAAGCTTGACAGGTTCCACCCCTACCATTCCTATGAGGTTACTCCCTGGCCATGAATGTGGTACAAAGCCACCTCTGTACTATAAAATTAAAGGAAGGGATGTACTGCAAGAGCAAAATGGAAATGCTGTGCTTCATCCCGCGAGGTCATAAACTCACATCACACTGCTGTCAGTAATGGCCAAAAGCTGTTTGGCATCAGCCTGACAACTTATTGTCCTTCAAGGAGTGCTTGGACCAAACTTTGGATGTGCAAGTCTTGCAGTGATTCAGAACCTGTTCCAAGTGAGGTTTTAGCAGTTCCCCAAAGCTCTGCAACAGCATCAAAATCCTATGCTTGAACAGGCTAGGGCTTAGAGAAGTTCATGCAGGTGTCTAAAAGAGAGGGTAATTTTAAAAAATACTCAGCTTTGGCCTAATGCTAATTCTCCTGAAGTGAAGTCAGACCTCCCATTTGCCCTCAGTGGGAACAGTGTTATGTTGGCACTGAAGGCTTTTGGAAATATCGCTGTTAAAGTCAATATGCCTTTTATAGACAGTCTGTGAAAGCTATAATAGCTGCACATGCAAAAGAAAGTCACTGCCCAGAAAAACAAATGCAAGGGAGAACCATGCTGGGGTATATGGCAGGGGGCCCTAGAGCGGACCACGGGCTGCATTTCACAGAAGGACCCTTGGATGGGATCCATTCACACTGACATGTTCAGCTGACGCTCTGTTTATTATTTGACCATCTGTAGGGAGAACTCACTCCAGTCGCTCTGCCTTTCCTTTCCTTCAGCAACTGAGAAATGTGCTGCATGAACAGCACTGAACCAAGAACCGAGGAAAAGCAAAAAACATACAATGCTCCTTACCCCATTGCTTCCCAGAATGATCTTCATATTCTCCATTGGAGCCTTCAGGTACCTGGCTATCCTTTCCTGAGCTGGCATCATCTGCAAAGGAAAGGAAAGGAAATGGAAGATGTTAAGAAGGTCTCCTGCAGTGTAGCAGTACGATAACAAGAGTATGCATTTCCTCCCGGAGGCACCATGCAGCTGAAACACACTCAACATACATTTGGCATCCACATCCTGGCACTTACAGCTTGGCCAGTTTAATGAACAATTTAGTTTGCTGCTTTATGAGCTTTTCGGCAGGCTACCAAAGCAATGGGAGATTAATCAATGTTTCCATTAATAGCTGACAAAAGCCTCTTTGTTTATGTTTACAGGTTGCTGTTCCCTAGGAGGAGCTGATCTGTTGTACCTTGTATGCAAATAACGGTATAAATCAAAATTACAGATAATTAAACCTAGGAGGTGGGGGAAGACTTATGTGATCAGCCACACAGAGCACAAGCAATGGAATTGGGGCCACTAATTCGCCTTTCAGCTTCCATACAAAATCAGGAAAGCAAGCAGGTCTGGGGTCAAATGAGCCCTCAAGGGATTCTGAATGCAAAGCTATGGCTGGAGAAAGTAATATTGAATTGAAAAGCTGTTTGTGGTTTGTTTTTTGTTTTTTTTTTTTTTTAATTAAGACCACCCATCTACCTGTATCCGCAACACACTGCTTCATCCCTTTTCACTCTAGTTGTCTATACCACTACCACAGAGCAGCATCAAGGTCTCAACTCTTTGCCCTGTACTGCTAGGAGAAATAGAAATCACCACAGGGTGAAACCCCCACCTCTCCAGCAGCCCCCATCTCAAATTGCCACTGTGATATGGCCACCTACGAGGGCTGAGGGAGCAGAAGAGTGCCCTGAGCCTCCTTCTGCAACCCAGGTGATGCTGTTGGACTCGCACCTCTGCAGTGCCCAGATGTGAAGTTTTTTCCTCCTCCAGTAACAACCCGACCTCTATTGCACAAGTGCTCAGCTCAGAGCATCCTTGTATAGCAATGTGTCACACCAGGAGGGAGGTTCACCTGAGGGACTTTGGGCACCTACAGGTGATGGGCACAGCAAAGTATGGCTCTTTCAAGGCTACTTCTGTGCTCTACAGGTGGCACAGCCCCATACAGCAGCTGGATTTGAGTTGAAGATCTTGCTCAAGAGCTACTCAGCTCCTAGCTAAAGTGCACTGAAGTATGTGAAGTTTGATTTTCAGAGATCGGTCAGGTGAAGGCTGGGAAAAAGTTCACCTCAATAAGAAACTGCTCTGCAATGGTGTAAAAAAAAAAAAAAATCAAGAGAAGTGGAAATATCTGACCTAAGGAATGAATCCCTCCAAATGCCCAACTCCTAAAAGCCATAAGAAAAAGGTCTCATGAGCAAAAGAGAGGAAATTTCTTGCTGTAGTTTCTGCAGCAGAGAGGAAAAACTTATCTCAGTTTATACGTGAGCATGACCCACCCCCCCCCCCAATGTATAAATAGTAGAGCTGCTCTTTACAGTTGTTTTAGAAGTCAGGTTGTACTTAAACAGTGCTTGGTGCGTAAACTTGTGTGCAGTCTTTGTGCGAGAAGAATGTGTGTTTAACCCCATCCTCACCCCAGTTTCCGCTGTTTTGGAAAACCATCTCATCTCTTCAGCATGGAGCATTTTATGCCGACACATGCTCCAGTCTCGTTTGCCGCTGTCCCTTAAGCAGAGAGGCTGCAATGCCATATGGGTTTGTCCCCTCTCGCCCCTGACAGATTTTTCCCTTCTCCTTGCGGTTACTTCAGCACAGTTCCCCCCAGAGGTATGTGCAGCTGTCACTTCGAGGGGAAAAGAAAACTTTCAGGGCAGAAGCACGCCGTGCTCTTACTTCGGCAGCTCACTCCAGCCGACTGCCCTTTCCCACCTCCCTCTCGCCCTCCGTCCATCACTGGAAACCCAGAGGCTTTCCCAGGGGCTCCAGCCAGCTCCCAGCACAAACCACAGGGAAGCAGCGTGAAACACCGCCATGCTCAGGAAACAACAACTCCCGTACAGGTCCGTGAGTGCAAACGTACTGTCCAGGCTCTGCCGAGGCTGGCCCACAGCCTGTGTTACAGAGGAGACGAGTAACCCATGTGCTGTGTTTTACAAATATATTTTTACAGCCTTCGCAAATCGAATGCAGGGAATACAAATATACCCATTATATATGATGGCTTGCATATGACAGATTGTCTCCTTTCAGTCAAAACACTGAATCAATTATCTTCTGGCATTTGTACAGTTTTTCACATAAATATCAGTAGTGCTACGAATGAAATCTTGGATGCTCTCCGACAGAGAACTTTGTAAATCGCTTAGCACAATTAGGAAAATGTATTAAGTAATGGAGAAGAAAGAAAAACTGCGGCCAGAGATGTAGGATTCCTGCCCATTGTTAACTGCCGAACATTTTAAAAGTGGTTAAGACGTTTAAGTGGCAATGTTCTGTCAATTATATCTTAATCCTACTCAGCTTGATGTACAAAGAGCAGTATATCCTCCCTTGCCTCCTGCCTCATGTTACAGTATGTCAGCCCATGTGCACTCCTCCTGCCTACACACAAGGACTGACTGGCGTTCCCAACACTTCTTCACATGCTGCCAAGCTCTTGATGTAAGTAAAATTGCTCTGAAACCGTTTGATCCTTTGAAGATGCTTCTTCAGTTGTTATCCTGCCAAATCGCAAACCTGTGGAGTAACCTACCAAACCCAGAAAAAAATCATTTTGGGGGGAAGAGATGAGGATAACTAATGCCACCGTGCTGAGCCTATGAAATAGATAATTTGGTGGAGGAGCAAGACTGAAATAAATAACTGCATGCATTTAGACACGTTGTTTTAGAACCACTGGAACCGGTTTCACTGTTGTTAGGAATGTGGTAATGTTAACAACACCACATAGCAGAAGTCTTGATGGTGGTGGGGAAATGTCATAAGCATGGAAACTCATGTAGAGCAAAACTACTCCTTCCCACCCCCAGAGCTGCACACTGGGTGAGGGATGTTACAGCAGTCTCCATTCCAGCTGCAACACACAGTGAATTGGGCTCCTACCTTCAGCATGACTGTATCTGAGCAAACTCACACTTGAGAACCGTAGGAAAAAAGCTGATTCACGAGACCCAGGAACTGGATGAAACTCATTTTGGGAAGATTTCCTGAAGCCCAGGAATCTCCAGTCAAACTGAAAAGTGTGAGTGAGGCAGCAGAACAGCTAGTGATATACGATAAAGCGTTAACCTGGGATGTGAGTGACCCAGGGTCAAGTCCCTCTTCTGCTGCATTCAGAGAGGGATTTGAACCTCCCCTCTTGCACCTCGGGTGAGCGTCTTAAGCTCTGAACTGTGGTCTCAGAGAGCCAAAAAAGAGCTTATTATTACATAAAGTGGAACAGCACTGTGGGAGACATATCTCAGGAACACCCTTAGGATGGAAGACCCCTGTTTAATTCAGATGTCACCAAGATTTGACTTCCACCTGCCCCATCCAAAGTTTGTACTGTGGCTGCATGGAAAGAATCTGTCTCTCCCTGTTTTGAAGAACTTTCTTATGTTTTTAATTTTAATATCAAGTGGTTTCCTAGGGTCGGGAAACACTTTTGCAGTTGTTCTAGTCCCTGTGCTAGCAAGGATGGATATCTTTCTGTACCCCAAACACACTTTGGTCAGCCTGCTCACTCCTAGGGAGGGATCTATGACACTGAAAGCAAAACCAAATTTCCTGAAAGTTCAGAGGCATCTGGTTCAGCCCAAACCTGCAGTCTGAAGCCTGGTTAATAGTGCCAGATCTGAAGACCTGTTTGCATTTCACCCCAAGCTTTACAAATGCAACTGGGTCTGAAAAAATGAGCCACATTCAGATATGTATGACCAGCATACAAAACAATGAGTTAGTAGCAGAAATCACATGAGTCTTAGCTATATTCAAAAATGACCTAATAAGCCAATTGCTTGCTCATGCTCTTGTCACCTCCACTGAAGCAGGCAGGTCAGGGGTATAAGTACATGCAAAAAAATCAGCCTGCAGCCAAAGGGCAGCAGGGACCAGCTATGCAGCATTGCCAGCTTTGCTGCCAGCAGATTACTGCAAGGGGCAGTGCGAAGAAGGATGAGCTGCTGAAGTTTCCTACAAGCTCCCTTTTCTGTGACCTATATTGGAAGGTCATCCTGTACTGGACTTCTTGGACAGTATCATGGGCTTAGGAGAGCAGCCAGTTGGAAGACGAAGTGGAAAATCTGCCTTGAAAAATAATCACTGACTAATTTTATGTCACAAGTATCTGAGGCTAAGAAAACATACATGATTTAGGTGTCCTCACTGTACAATTTGGTTCCATGGTATTACAAAGCTTGCTAGCTAGTCAAGAAACCTGAAGTGGAAGGCTCTGATATCATGTCAGGTGATAGACTTGGAGACATGGGACAAACTCATGCAGTCCCTTCCCCTCCAAATACTGCACCTGGCCATACAAGACAGGGCCAGGATGGATCCAGAGGCATCAGCCCATTGTTCAGAAATGTCATCCCAGTGGCGTGATCCCCAGCTACTCTCCAGCCATTGCCTCCCTCTTGCTTCAGGATCTCGTTCCAAGCTGGCTTCGAGGTCTGAGATTCCACAGGACTGAGATGCTGGCGCTGTGCTGGGGAAGTGCGTGGTGGAGCTGAAAGGGGCAGTCACGGGATTGGTTTTGCATGAGACTTGACATATCTGAGTGTATGAGGCCCTGATTATCAATGCTGACGTCATGGGCCAAATTGCCCTTTCTCACCCCAGAAAGCACGATGCTCTACACTTATTGCCTGCAAGGTGTCTTTTTGGTCTACCCCCTGTCCCAAAGCAGGCTGGATTTCTGCAGGAAAAGGGATTTCTGTATGTAACTCCATCAATTGACAAAGCACTTCGGGGATCCTATGGGACAAAGAGTGCCACATAAGCGGGGTATAGTTACTGTTTATTACCATAGCAGAATTGTTCCATTCCCTCTTAAAAGTTAAAACAAATGGAAAATTCTGCATAACGGTCCTGCTCTGAGAGAAACTGATGGG